CCTCAATGGACAATGCCAATGGTAATGAAAGGTCTAATATTATACATGTTGCAAATTACTGTATACACAAAATATGAAATAATTTATATAAAGTACAATACCAATGTCTGGTGCACATATCGTCGTAGGTATTCAAGTTGTACCGCACGCACGGAAACGCATGGAGGAGTCTTGGCGTTTGTGTGATATTAACAGATAGCTAACTACACTTCGACATTATCTTTCTTGATCGTTGAGTTTCAGCAATGTAAATGAAATGAATTTTATAGCCAGTCCATAACGGGTTTTAATCCTGTGCTTTTACAGTCAAAATAGCACTATTGTTTACACATGTTGGCGATGTTTGGGAAATCAAAGGATCCCGTTATAAAATAAATTTTTTGTTTTGAATATCGGACAGGATACACTTCAACCATAAAGAACCATATCGTTCGTTTAATACCGTTTGATCGATCAGTCTGTGTAGAAGATATGTATGTTTCTACGGCGATACGTGCTAAACTTCGCAAGCCAGGCGCGTGTGGAGTGTTTTTCTTGCAAGTGAAATATGATCCAGCTTCTCGCTTGAAATGTAACGCAACACTTATTGTTGATGACATTCAGCACAGCAGGAAGTCTTTGTCATGATCGGTACGAATCTAGAACGTTCCTTTCACAATCTCTTGTTGCAAATGACATTTTTATCACCCGAAATTATAACACATAAAGTTGCAATTTTCCAAACGCAACAAACACGCTCCCCTACCTCCCGACCCATAGTCAAATTATACGTTTACTCCCAGATTCTGGGTGTGACGTCATAAGCCCCGACCAGGGTCTTTGCTTCCCAAGAGCAAAGAGCCTGGGAACGAGGTTGATCTCGAGGAACTTGATGAAATGAATTGGTCAGCCCGAGGTAATGTATTGAATCAATATTTGAGGAACACTTCAATTGGAACGACAGTAAGGGACCATCAACCAATCAAATGCATTTGATATATTCGATCAACCATTATAATGAAAGTGTGAGTTTATTCACAAACTAATTATAAATCAACTTCCATGCAATGCTTCATGCAATCATCTAGTTATGCACCAGTCAATGTAAATCCCTGCCCCCAACCGGGGAGGGCGGAAGGTTTAGCGGGGAAAGTGGTCAGTTTTGATTATAAATTTGTCCCCGATGATGGGAGACTTGGACAGTGGTTAACATATATATCCTGTGTTGCTGTTTTAGTTTTCTTGACAAGAAAAGTTTAAATACAATAACATAAATGAATTTGATTTTCTATTGCTGATCTATGATTATACAAACTATTTTCCTGGGGTTGAGAGACATGCAGGGGACATTGATGTCCCTGGGGGCGGGGCCAATTTCGCTCTTTTACTACCCCTCCAAGTCAAAATCCCTGCCCTTCCCCAGTTGGGGGGTTTACGTTGACTGGTGCATTAATTAAAGAAGTGTCAGTGCCACATATGTAGTAAAAGCCAACTTGTCAGTAAAGGCCACAGAGCAAGATTGTATTTCAAAGACTGTCAGTGACAAAAACAATTGATAGTCCTGAAATAGAGTATGCCAACAGTTAGTATACTGCAAATAACTATTCTATCAACAAGATAAAAATGTGTGTGTTTTACAAGTGTTTTTCATATATCAATCCAATGGCATGTAACCTAAAATTCAGCAGTGTCTGTGTAATGAAATACACCCTTACTTCTCAAATATGGTCAAATTAACTATACTACATTGTGTATAATAATATATGGACTGGTTCAAAAATATATTGAATTTATATTAGTGAACTGGTGAACTATTGATGTAGAGATTATGCCAAGTATAGAATGGCACAAGGATTTTCATGTTGTCAGCATGATTAAATCGTGAGATTGTGCAAATAATCTGTGTAAATCTCTTAGAGATATCCTCAGTAGCTACATTTTAAGGTAAAATGACTATGGTAAAGCTATTCAAGGCAAAAAAGCAATGGATCTCGTTGTCAACAGTAAATTTAGCTACGTTTATGATCCATTTATTGCCGTATTTCAGCTGAGAATTCATTTAAGACAATGCAGTACGATAGACTTACCTTTGAATTTATGATATATTCTTTTAAAATGGTCACCAAAGCTCTAAAACTCGATTGGTATCGTTTTAACTTCCTCACTCCTTAATGTTTACATGTAAATTTGTCAAATTACACTTGTTTAGGGCACTGGAAACGAGACACGGCCAAGATGCGCGAGGCGACATGCGCGGGGACATCAACATCAAAGATTCCGACATCGAGTGAGACTTCTGGTCTTATTACACTGACCTGAAAGTCAAGTGTCTTAAATCCCTAATTTTCTGTTTTCTGTTTTCGTCGAGAAATGGAGTTTGCGTTAGCGCATCGCAGGCTCAGGGTGCAACGATTAAGCCAAAATGCCATCGATTCTTCAATTCCACGATTTATATATGATAGTAACGAGCTCGTATTTATGTACGTAATAGCCGGCTCATGTCATGCTTGTGGTACATTTTCGTTTATTAGCACATATATAGACTTGTACGCACGCGCACAATTCCGAACTCCAAGTGTGACATATTCAGTCCAGTTTCAAAATGGCAGCTTTTGGCTGAGTGATCAAAATATATTTCACACAGTTTCGTTGAATTTTCGAAGAGTTGTGCCGGTTTCCTATGGATTTTACGTTGCGTCGCACTCTGGACTTTCTTGCGTGTTGAATTAATGTGTTTTTCTTTGTGTAACGACTCGAAAACCCCAAAATTTGGACCAGCGAATTTTTAAGATACAATGTAGTGGGATTTATTATATAAGTATTGAGATTTACTCATCGAAATCGCAGTGCGTAATAATCGTTCCAAATTAGCAACAGCCAATCAGCAACGAGAACGATGAAATCTCACTAGTGAAAAATCATCGTTCGCCGTTGTTGATTGGACGAACGATGGTTTTTCACTAGTGAGAAATGATCGTACGGGAAAATACGTCATTTTTCATTTGGCGCGGAATTGCGAATTTAATTATTTAAAACAACAAAATGGCTTCGCGATTTGTTGACGCCGGTTCTGTTGACGACTTTATTTTGGAACAGGAGAACAAGAGCACGGCGCAAAAAACACAGCGTGATGTTAAATTATTACAACTATTTTTGGTGAACAAGAACGAAGAAAGAAACATTGAAGATATCCCGATAGGAGAACTAAACGAATACATGTCTGACTTTATAATTTCGGTCAGAACCAAAAACGGAAAAGAATACGAGCCATCTTCTCTTCGGAGTTTACTGGCAAGTTTCGAGCGGCATCTTAAGAGGAAAAACTACCCTGCTAGTATTATCAATGACTTGGCATTCGAAAAGACAAGAAAAACTCTCGAGTCCAAGCAAAAACAATTAAAAAAACAAGGAAAAGGAAATAAACCAAACGCTTCTGTGGCTTTAACTACTTCGGAACTAAATACGTTGTATGAAAAAGACCTTCTCGGTACACGAAGTCCTGAGTCGCTTTTAAACACACTCTGGTTGAATAACACTATGCATTTTGGACTCAGAGGTTGCAAAGAACACAGAGACATGTGTTGGGGCGATGTTAAGTTGAAGCAAACAGCAGACGGTGAGGAACTTTTAGAATTTAATGAAAGACAAACCAAAACAAGAACCGGTTCAGATTGCCGTGATGTCAGAAAAATGGCGCCTAAAATGTTTGCTACTGATGGGTCGGAAAGAGATCCTGTCGTGGTCTACAAACTTTACGAGCGGAAGAGACCAGGAAAAATGAACGAGGATGATTCCCCTTTCTACCTAGCTGTGAACAACACATTAAAGAAAGAGTCGCTTCAAACGAAAGAGTGGTTCAAGGCCGCTCCTGTTGGAATAAACAAACTGAACAGTCTAATGAAGACAATGGCTCAAAAAGCAGGAATCAACAACGAACGACTGCGAAATCACAGCGGGAGAAAAACAATGATTCAAACACTTAGCGAAAATGATATTCCCCCGACACATATCGCTCAACTGTCAGGGCACAAGAATTTAAAAAGCTTAGAAAGCTACAGCAAAGTGTCGAGCAAACAGGAAATGCAAATGTCCAAAGTTCTCAGTGGCTATACATCTGGTAGTGCAGCAAAGACATCGTCTGATAAAACAGTAAATTCACCACCAACTTGCTCGCCCATCTCCGAAGCACAACAAGCTATGGCTTTATTCAGCGGAGCTGTCATTAAAGGCGGCAATTTTTCCATTAACATAAACACAGTAAACCAGTCGCCCAAGCTCACATTGGAACAAGAACCAAGCCAAAATTCCGCCAAAGATGAAGCGTTGTCAAAATGGAAGAGACTTAATTTTAGAGGACAGTGACGATGAGTTTTAGACATTTTTATAAACATTTATAGCCTTTGAAGTATTTTTAAAATACGTGTTAATTTAATATTTTCTTCGCATTGAAATTCTTACAATCAAGTTGTGTTGTTGTGTTCTGAAAATAAAAAGTTAATTTATGCAACCGCAAATGCTGTTAATAATCTACTATTATTAATCATTTTAAAATATGCATTTTCTTGAGTGAAATCTCAATACTTATAATCAGTGCTCTCACTCTTAAGGAATTATCCTTAAAAATAGGAATTTTGAAGAGTTTTAAGGATTTTTTTAAGGAATTTAGGTTTTTGAGGATTTTTTTAAGGAATTTCCAAAACATTTTATCCTGGACTTAAAACGTTTTGACGGAGAATAACCACGCCACGGAAATGAGATTTAAACTTGAAAGTAGCAACATTATATGCACCTAATTACATATATTCGTATGTTCCCTATGTTGTAAATGTACATATGGCTGTCTTTCCATTAAAATTCTCAAAAGTTAAATGTCAGTGTAAGCTGTTTCTTCTGAAATCTACAGATTTTCTTAGTTCTCAGGGCCATAGCGACCGGGGGAGGGAGGGTGCAACACCCCTAATATTGCTCATGAACAATTTCAGGTAGATATCCTGTAGATTTTCAGGTAATTCTCAGGGCATAAAAAAGTGAACTCTCTAATCTGAATTGGAGTTAACAGTCAAACAAACTAAAGACGTTGAGACGTGTTGTGGCAGGGAGACAATTGCGAAATACCCTTTCTGACGATCTGGAGACTCCAAATTTCGAAAATTTTCTCAATTTCCCATTATAAACTGAAAGTAGCAATACTTATCTTCATTGTTAGGCAATACTAAAATATTGGGTAGGAAAGACTCTAAAAATGCCATTTCCGACGGTCTAGAACCTTCAAATTTTCAAAAAATATGGTTTTAAAGAACGTTCAGTTCGAAAAATTCAGGTAAATCAGGTGAAAAAAAAAAACACTTTGCAACTCTGTGATCAGGCCTTGTAGTAATTTTACCAATTTAAGGAATTTTAAGGAAATCTGAGGAATTTTCGAGCTTTTTCTAAGGAATTCGAAAATTTGATTGTGAAAGCACTGCTTATAATATAAACAAATAACATCATGGTTGGATCGCGGGTACGGTTTTTATTCACTCGTTAATTATTACAGGCTCACTCGTTCGCTGCGCTCACTCGTTCGCCTGTAATAATTCACTCGTGAATAAAAACCGTACGCGCTCGCCAACCATGAAGTAATCTCTATTTATAATATACGGAAAAATGTAAACTAGCCATACATTTCGCCGAACATATAAACTTCGGCCCCTTTGGACATATCTTTTTCGTAAAAGTATTATTGGAACCAGAATCCAAGGTTGACAGCTTGACTACACAGCGTAGTTTTAATTAAACAAAAATATCTCCTAATTTCTTACGATAGTTTTAGCCAAATGTCGACAATATACCTTACATGTATTAAAATTCGCGCAGTACTAAAATTCGTGTAGCGCTGGGTGCGCAAATTTTAGTACTGCGCGAAATATAATCCGCGCAAAAAGTTTTGTGGTAGCTACAGTAAAGATAAAGCGCGCGTTCAAAATACCAACAAGGACTAATACCGACTAAAACATTTATTGTATGGTTCTCATTTGCCTAATACAATAACATTTATAGTTCGACGCGAATTTTAAT